CTCGTTTTGGCCCTGCATTGTGAAAATGTTCGTATGGCCTCATGCTATCCCCGTGGCTTCCTTTGCCGGCTTCCTCTTATCCGCATGGTTTCCTCCTACCAGCATGGCGTCCTCCCATCCGCATGGTTTCTTCCTGTCCGCATGGCTTCCTCCTATCAGCATGGCCTCTTCCTGTCCGCATTGCTTACTCCTCTCCCCGTGGCTATTCGAATGGCGTCCCAGCAATTGTCCAACGATCGTCGAACTCAGAAGTGTAGAAAAGTAGAGTAGAGTAGACAAGAGTAGAGCAGGGCAGAGAACAGTAGATGAGTAGAGTAAATCAAAAGAAGAGTAGAGTAGCGTAGATAGAGTAGGGTAGAGTAGAGCGGCGCAGAGAAGAGTATAAGGTTAGGGTATGTCAGGGTAGGGCAGAGTAGAGTAGAGTAGTGCAGAGTAGAGTGGAGTAGGGTAGGTGGTAGAGTAGAGTAGGCTAGAATAGAGTACAGGGTAGAATAGAGCAGAGAAGAGCAGAGTCTAGCACAGTAGAGATCAGGAGAGTAAGTTAGAGCAGAATAGCGTCGGAGTGAAGTGGAGTAGGGTAGGGTAGAGTGGCGCATGTCATGTGTCTCCCCGAAATCCCGACCCTTCTCCTGGGGCCAGCTGTTCATCCCGAATCGATGTTAGACGGTACAAAGGGCCCGGCGAGGGTCCCTAGAGGCCGAAAACTGCCAGAAACCTACCGTCCTGATCTTTGCCACGACACGAAGATGTCTGGGGTCCGACCCTTTCAGATTGACGTTGAAGCCCGGTGTCCTTCGAGGTGCGCCACCCGAGCCTGCAGCCGCGACACCTCCTCTGCACCGCTGGCCGCTCCGTGGATGCCCGCGGAGCCGAGCGGGCTGCGGCCACCTCGACGCACACCGCAAGCCCGCTCCATCTGCCCGCCCCGGCCCCCGCCGCCCTCCGTCCTCCCCTGTGGTCCGATGTCGCGAAAACAGTGCAACATCGTGAACCCCATCTTTCTGCGCCGTTTTTCGAGCTGGATCGATCTGTGAGAGGGCCCGCCGAAACTGGGCGAATCGCCCGGCTCTGACAAAATTGCGACGCCAGGATCTCAGGGTCCGCCCTTTCGCCCTCCGCCCTTCCCAGACGGCTAAGGCTCGAGGTCTTCGGAGGCGCTCGTCGGTTGATGGCAGTTTTGCACGGCCCCGGGGTGCTCTCCAGCAGCTGCGCCTCGCCGTGCTCGGAGATCGTCCCAGGAGGGCCGCCGGAGAGCCGAACTGCGGCCGGGAAACCCAAGCATGCTCGAGTTTTGGAGTGTTCAAAACTGTTCGTCGGTCCTCGGCGGTTTTCCGGTCCCGGGGTGCTCTCCAGCAGCTGCGCTTCGCCGAGAGGCGTTCAAGGGGTGCCCGGATCGTCCCGAACGGCAGCGGGAGAGCCGAGTTATGACCCAAGAACCAAACATGCACGCGCCGCCCCCCCCATCCCCTTCCTAATATTCTCGCGTCTCAAGCTTTTCGAGCAAGGCGTGTTCGCTTGGTTTCGAACCCCGGGACCCTCACAGATCGAGCCGGCTCGAAAAATGACGCACAAAGACTGGGTCGGGGGCTCTTGGGCTTTGGGCGTGATCTCAGGGAAGGGCTTGCGGCGCCTTCCCTGAGATCCAACGCAGCGAAAACAGTGCGAAAAATTGCTCCCGAAGCCCCAGAGCCCCGGCGCGCGCATGCTTGGTTCTTGGGTCATAGCTCGGCTCTCCCGCGGCCGATCGGGAGGATCTGGGCACCCCTGGAACGCTTCTCGGCGAGGGGCAGCTGCTGAAGAGCACCATAGGGCCAGAAAACCGCCGAGGACCGACGAAAACGCGCGGATCGATATGTGAGGGTTCTGGGGCCCGAAACTTGGCGAGAACATCTGGCTCGAAAACAAGGAGACGCCAGGATGTCAGAGGAGGGACTCGGCGTAGCCCAGACGTGCGATGGCTTGTTTTTTCCCTGCGCGGTTCACGGAAATCTCGACCCTGTACCCGGATCTGGTGTCTCATCCCGAGCCGTATTTGACGGCCCTGAGGCACGGCGAGAGGCCCTGCGGAGCCAAAAACATGTGAACAAATCCGTCGTCACTTTGTTTTCACGACGCGAACCTTATTCGCGGACCCTGAGGTCCGACGTCGCGAAAATCACCAGTTTGGATCTTCGGACCCCATCTTTCTGAGCAGTTTTTCTTGCCGGATCGAGCTACAAGGGTCCCGGGGCCCGAGACCGGGCGAAAACGCCTGGCTCAAGACAGAAAGAATGAGATGCCAGGATCTTGAGGAGGAGGAAGGCGGAGGGAGATAACTCGAGCATCCCTGGGCTTTCAGGCCATAGCTCGGCTCTCCAGCGACCCTTCGGAACGATCTGAACACCGCCGAGGACCGACGAGAACGCCCAAACCTCGATGAGGAATGCGCTTTTCCATTCCCCCCGTAACGACTGTGATGGAGGAGTCTGGCTTCCGCAGGGGGATACAGGTAAAATGGCAG